CTTTCACACTAGAAGAAATCTGGATTCCTTTTATGGGAACATTGGAGGTAACTCTAGGTATCTATATTTTATTTATCTATTTGGGCTGAGGAATATTATACTGCTCAAAGAGTAATGAGAGTTTGAGCACACGGCTTATTTTGATGAGCTATCTCGCTGACTGCTAATCAGATAGCTCAAATATGTTCGCTTACCCACCATTACTATATAGTAAGCAAGACTGGCTCGTATAACTGTTCGCCTTATGGTTAATCCTACTCTGACACGATCACTGGAACTATACTCTGGCTTGTATAAAAAATGACTAGCAGTTCCTGGTCACTGTAATTCAGCCCTCAATACCTTCCTCTACATGTGTATGTGGTGTTAAGTGCCGTTAAGTGTACCTTTCTGGGAAAACATAAAATAAGAAATTTTATATTCTTTTACATGAGGACACCAGGGAATTAAGGCAGACAGGCAAGACAAGACTGGGGATCGGGACTGTTCTGCTAAAATTGAGACAGTTGGGAGGTATGCTAACCATTTGTACACAAATGTATACCCGCTCTATATACCCACAGAATACCAACTAAGAACTAAATATACATAAAAGAGTTATTCACTAAAGTGAGAATTGTCAGGAATTCAAAGTGAATTTCAAGTAGTTGAACTGGAAAAAGTCTCCAAATTAGCTATGATTCCGGTTTCGCTATTATGGTGTTAAAAATGTAATTCACTTTTAATTCTCAGTTTAATGAATAACCCTGAATGTAGGTTACATAGGCTGAAAAAAAACAAGTGCCTATCAAGTTCAGCCTTTCTTACATCTGCATGGATCAAGAAGCTAATACTCGATAAATTAATAACTATATCCCTGAATATTGTTTTTGCAAGTATACATCTAGTTGCTGTTTAAACACCCATACAGACTTTGATAAAACCACTTCTTCAGGCAGAGAGTTCCAGATCCTTATTGTTCTTAATGTAAAAAAAAAAAAAACTTTTCTTTGCCTTAGACTAAATCTCCTTTCTTCAAGTCTAAACGCGTGACCTTGTGTCCTATGTATAGTCCGGTTTCTGAAAAGATTTCCACACAATGGGGTTTGTATTGGCCTTGGATATATATGTATAATGCTATCATAACCCTCTGAGGCACCATTTTACTAAACTGAAGAGGTTTACATTTGTTAATCTTTCGTAATAACTAAAATGTTCCATTCCTTTTATTAACTGTGCAGCCCGCCTCTGCACTTTTTGTAGTCCCATGACATCTTTCGCGCACAAACTCCCATGAGTTGCATACCAGACGAAACACCCAATTACCACTGACAAGATGGGTAACCATTGACCTACCTATCTAGTCTATACTATAACTCTCGGATACTACAGATTGACCCCATGGTCCTACCAACAGACTCATTAGGTCTGACAAGGCCTTCTTTGACACACCCTCCACCGTACAATATGACCGACTACTACATACAATGGGGCTTCAAAAATGAAAGAACCCAACATGAACTTTCAGAAGAGCGATGAGTACATACCTCCAGACGTTTATCCTTTCATCCTATGGGTAAGGCGACTGTTACCTTTTAAAGATTTAGTTATGTATTGCTAAGAATTCCTTCTAGATTAGCTCCCTTACCCCATTACCATAAACCCTGAACTTACCGGTACGATGAACACAACTGACCATTACCACTATGAAAAAATATATATTTTTTAATTTATTATTTATTTATTTTAATTTTGGCAAATCTGACCCATTTTCGGCTGAAACGGGATAGGCCCATTTTCAGAAGAAAATTTCAGCAGCCGAAATTTCGGTGCATCCTTACTGTCAACCAATTCTAACTTGAAGTTTATTGTTCATACAATCACTGTACTTGTAACCGATACCAATGTAATGATGACACCTATGAGGACATGTATGTCGTACTGTATACTCCTTGTTTATAAAAATATATCATAAAAAAAAAAGAAGAGGCGCACAAAATTTCACTATCTGAGTACAGACAACCTTATTTTGTTGACTCTTATAGCTGTTTTTCTGATGCCCTTAATGCTAGCCTCACTTTGTATACAAATATATATTGCACATGTTTTGTTGTCTATGCATTTATTTATTTTTATTTAAACTTTAAGAGCCCACAAGTAATTTTAACTTTGTTTATGCCATTATCAACATATGAGATTGTGACATGGTTATGATGTCATCATTTGAACAATTGTTTCTCACCAGTGCATGAGGGAACACTCACTCAATACTGAATTGGCTGCATTGCTGTTCAGTGCGCTAGAGTTGTCCTTAGAGTTTTACTACAAATTTTATCAAAAATCCACACACAGTGTTTCACACACATTGTAAAATTGTGGTACTGTGAACAAACAGTTGGAAACAAAAATGACAGACGAGGCAACAGTCCTTGACATTGAGCAAACAATATCTGAGACCAAAGATTCCAGTACAGAAAGTAAAACTGGATGGTTTCAAAATCTGATATTATGGATACGTTTATTTTGGACAAAACTATGTGATTTCGGAAGGTGTCTAAGACTGTGGGTTTGCAATTGGTGCTCGTTCGCCTGTTTTGAGAAACTGAACATTACAGGGATTTTCAAAGGCAAAAATCTCACCTGTGAGCAAGACATCATCAACTTCCTCAACAATAACCGCAGCAAAGTAACCGGAGACAAGAGCAAGCCCAAGGAAATTGAGGTACATAGCTTTATTAGGAAGTATAAGGCTTGAGTAGACCCTTAATTTACTTGTAATATATGTTATACATTTCATATATCAGCCATTAAAGTTATATATTGTTACAAAAAAATGGAACAACATAATAACAATAAGATTTAGATTTAAATGTAACTGTTTACACATTAAAAATAGGAAATTACATATAAACATGAATATATAGTAAGACATGATTAAGGATATCATAGAGATGGTTTAGAGGACTGACAGCTAATTATGACACCCCAAATGTTTCCGAACTACATTCCTATGGCTGGCTGAGCATCATGGGGAATATTGTTGAGAAACAGTGGTTCCAATCTTAGCCATCCTTGGCTTAGAGTAATTACAATAATACAACATCCAAGTCATATACCAATTAATTGATTACTGCTGTACAAGGACTAAGCAGAATCACGGGCACTTAAGATCCATTCTTCAAATGAAATTTTAGCCCAGTGACCCATTCTACCATTGCATTGTAGTTTATAACAGAAATGCAGCAAATAAAAAATAGACTGATCCCAAAGTGAAACGTGGGTTTATTACACCTAGGAAGGCAGAGACGCTGTAAAAAAGCATTTATTCAGAACAATTGCATGCACCTTCATTAATATGATGTGCTTATTCCAAACATTAACGACCCACTTAGCATAGGCACCTAATTTGGGATTTAGGAACCACTGCTCTACTATACAGTTCTATATATGTAAGTCCTTGGAAAGTTGTGATCACAGGCAGATTATCTGCAGGATACCTACATAGGGCCTGACAGGTCATGGGAGATCAGGATTTAAAAAAAAATAATTAACTAGGCATAGGGAAATGGGTGTATTAGGGCATATGGTAGAGAGGCTGGGAGGGAAATAAGACTGGGAAGAGAGAATAGGCCTATAGCAGTGGAGCTGCGTGGGGATATCCGGCTATCGCAATGGAGTAGGATAGATGGGACTGGGGTGTGGATTAGGACAATAGGAGTAAGGCTGTGGAGGGGAGAATAACACTGTTGCTGAGTATAGTGCAATGTGTCAATGGCAGTAGATATAAATATTCTACTAACAAACTGAACATTATAACCATTAGCAATATTTACAAAGCTCCAACATATTCCATAGTGAGGTACAGTGATCAATTCAAAAATAATGATTTATTTTCACCTTCTTGTGAAAAAAGGGCATTCTGTAACTCCACACATTGATCCGCCAATTCATTATACGGAGACTGGCTGGATGAGCACGGAAAACACATTTCTGTTTGTAGACATTTTTATATATTGTGCGTTTTGTTGACTGTGAGTGTGTTTGTTTTTTATCTTTCTTTAGAACCTGCCACAGTCAGTGAATTTAAAAACCAAGAAAATTGGCCTAATCAACTTGGGAAACACATGTTATATGAACAGTGTATTGCAAGCATTATTCATGGCAGGAGAGTAAGTTATGCTTTATTTCACACCAGGGCTGGACTGGGAAAATAATTCAGCCCAGGTATTTAAACGCAGAGCAGCCCAGTTGGAGGGGGCAGGGACAGAACGTGGGTGTTTCATGTCATCAATGATGACATACATGCCACCTCAAAGTGAGTATGCTGGTCTGCTGTCACTACAGGGAAGAGCACTCGCATGGGACCAATGTCCTGTGTTTATTTAACAAAGCACAGCTCTGCAATCTCTGGTGTCCCTATAATAGGGATAACAAAGGACAAAAGTGGGGCATGGCTAGTAAAGGGTGTTGTGAATGTGTAGGGAGGCTCTCTGTGGCACTGTATGTGGTTGGAGGCTTATTGTGGGATTGCGTGTGCATAGAGGTGACTGTGGTGTAGTGTGTATGTGTGTGTGTGTGTAAAGGAGTCTGTGGTGTATGATATGTGTGGCTAGGGACTGCAGTGTGTATGTTTCCACTGGATGTAAAGTGTGTGCGTCTAGGGGCTGTGGAGATTATGTGTGTGTGTGTCTGTCTTTCTGTCTAGCAGTTGTAGAGAGAGAGAGAAAGCATGTGAGTATATTTGTACTTCTAGAGAACACTGGCGTACATACCATGGTCGCAGCTGCATTCCAGGGGGCCCGGCTGCCCTGCAGCCCCTTGTGACCGGGTGCCTGCCGCCATATTTTGCGGCCCCGGCCCGCGCGGCAAGTTAAGGGGTCCATGGATGGAAGGATGTGGATTGTCAGGGGGCCCAGTCAGCGCAGGGTGCTTTAACAGCGCGACCGGGTCCCCTGTGATTACATCACATGCTGAAAGGAAGTGACTGCACGTCACTCCTCCCAGCTAACACAGAGAGCCCGCACAGGAGGAAGCAGAGGGAGTCAGAGTGGAAACTCTGACTACCATCCACCTGAGCCACCACTGGACCCCAGGGAAAGTCACCCTCCTGCACCTAAAAGGTAGGAAACAGGAGGGTGAATTAAACATTTTGTGTGTGTGTGTCTGTGTGCCTGTCTGTCTGTATGTGTGTCTGTGTGTGTGTGTGCCTGCCTGTATGTATGTATGTCGTTGTATGTATGTGTGTGTATGTGTGTGTCTGTCTGTGTGTGTGTGTGTGTCTGTCTGTGTGTCTGTATGTCTGTGTGTCTGCCTGTATGTCTGTGTGTGTGTCTGCCTGTATGTGTATGTATGTATATGTGCCTGTCTGTATGTATGTCTGTCTGTTTGTGTGTGTGTGTGTCTGTATGTATGTATATATGTGTGCCTGTCTGTTTGTATGTATGAGTGTGTATGTGTCTGTATGTATCTGTCTGTCTTTATGTGTGTGTGTGTCTGTTGGGGGCGGGGAGTGCGGGGAATAGGGAGGAGGGGGGGGGCACGGGTCAGTTTCGCACCGGGGCCCCATGGATTGTGTGTACACCACAGTTAGAGGATATGTGTATCGGGACTGTTGTGTGCATGTGGGTGTATCTAGGGGCTGTAGCATGTTATAGGAGCAGTAATGTGCCTTTTTATGTATAGGGACTGTAGTTTGTGTGAACAGGATAGTTTGTGTTTCAATGTAGTGTTTATCCATGGGCTGTAGTGTGTGAGTCCAGGTGCTATAGAGATTGTTTGTATGTCTAGATGGTGTGTGTACATCTAGGGGCTGTCGTGTGCGTATGAGTGTATCTAATGTTTATGTATGTGGACTGTTGTGTGTGTATATTAATATAAGCTGTAGTGTGTGTACAGTGAGTTAGCATTGGGGCTGCTGTGTGAATTTATTTTGTATCCCATATAAGTTGGAATGTCCAAGAATAAGATGTAAAACATATTTTATTTCAGTTTTAGGAGGTACGTGTTATCTCTGAATCTGAGTGGGTGCCAATCACTGATGGAGAAATTGAAAAATCTTTTCAAGAAGCTAGCTGATACAAACAAGGTATGTTTTTAAAGGGACATTTCAAGCACCATAACCACTACAGTACTAGGCCCTCCCTCCCCCCCTCCCCAATTTGTAAGTAGTCTACACCTACAGTACTTCTAACAGACAGTTTTCCACTATTTGATTTAAGCCTGGTGATACAGGGTTTAGCTCAAAAGGGCAAATGGAAGAGTCTGTCTAGGAGTTTCTGACTCTCCAGGTTAAGTAGCAGAGACATGGCATATGTGGACCCCTGGTAAAAAGTGATACCTTGGTAAAACTTATTGACTACTGAAAATGGGGGTGGGGAAAGGGGGAAATTCAGGGACAGGGCCTCTTCTGGCACTAGAAACCACTACAGCACACTGTAGTGGTTATGGTGCCTAGAGCATTTCCTTATTTATAGAAATTCTGTGAGTTCCAATTTGCTTAACATTAAAAAATGAACTATAGGGGCGGGGCCTGACATTCAAGATGGCCGGATGTGTTTTATAATAGCTCCAGCCTTCCAAACCATGTATTGAGGCAAAACCGCATAAAAGCGACACAGAAACACCCCAGTTCAAACTGCAGACCGACACCAACTCTACCTGCACTGTTTACAATCTGAATTGTGTTTGTCTGACAGGCCATGTATTAACTTTGCACAACAAAAATAAATCATATATAAAAAAAAATTAACTAACCATTTTTATTATTTCAAATACAGCATAAAACTTGTTTAAAACCTCTCTTTATACAAATCCTAAGCAATTAATATGAACGGGCATGCCCACCTATCAGTTGCAAAAATTGGAAATCTATAATACAGTGTGTGTCATTGAGTCACTTAATTTAAAGGGACACTCCAGGCACCCAGACCACTTCTGCCCATTGGAGTGGTCTCGGTGCAAACTCCCACTACCCTTAACCCTGCACCTGTAATTATTGCAGTTTTCATAAACTGCAATAATTACATTGCAGGGTTAACTCCTCCTCTAGTGGCTGTCTATTAGACAGCCACTAGAGGGCACTTCCTGATTAAAAGCAACGGTTTTCTGTGCTAGAGCATCGCTGGACGTCCTCACACTGTGTGAGGACATCCAGCGTTGCTCAATTCCCCATAGGAAAGCATTGAAAAGCATTTTCAATGCTTTCCTATGGAGAACTCTAATGCGCATGCACGGCATTGACGCGCATGCGCATTAGGTCTCCTTAGCCGACGGGATCAGTCTCCCCTACCAGCTGACGTGATTAAGGGAAGGAGCGGCAGCGACCCGAAACCACCGCCGACGGACATCGGCGGGGGTCTCAGGTAAGCCACTGAAGGGTTTTCACCCCTTCAGCAACCAGGGATGGGTGGTGGGAGGGAGAGGGGACCTGCAATGCCAGGAAAACTGATTGTTTTCCTGGCAATGGAGAGTTCCTTTAAGTTGAATATAAGATTTAAAAAAAATTAACAATAAAGTTAACCTAGCCTTAAACTGGGCATACAAAAACAATGTCTTATGTCAATATCACTGTGCCTTTTTATTGCCAGTACAACATTTTAAATTAACGTCTTTTTCCATTTCTAACCAGCAAATAGCTTATGCACCTTATGAATTTTTTATGGCTTCTACACCACCTGGGTCCAGTCCTAATTCCCAGGAAGACTCTGCCGAGTATCTCAGATTCCTTCTAAACAGGTACATATACTTGGTCTATACTTAGTCTATTTAACTAGTAATTGTTGACTAGTTATTGTCGTCATTCATACCTCAAACATTGTGAAGAATGGCAAAATACACAATATTAAACGGTATTATTGAATTCATTTTAACTGATCATTTAGGAGGTCTTTCTTTATAAAATAGCTCAAGTTCATTGCTAAAATCTACATATTAGCTAATTAGTCTTTAAAAGATACACTCTGTGTGCATAAGACAAATGTTGAAACTTTTAAATTTCCATTGTTCTTGCTTAATATTTGTTTGTGCATTAGATTGCAAGAAGAGGAGAAATCAACACTGTATTCAACACCTCGGAGCACAGAACTGGGGAAAGAAGGAAAAACTGTGATAGAAAGCATGTTTGGGGGAAAGCTGAAAACAAACACTTGTTGTAAGACCTGCAAAAGCACCTCCCAGAAGAGAGAAGATTTCACTGATCTTCCTCTGGCTTTCTCTTCATTTGTCAAACCAGCACCGGTAATGGCATGCTCTACCGAGGAAAAACCTCACGATTCTGTTACAATCAATATGACCCCAGCTGCAGACTCACCCACTGAGGAAAACATGAGCCATGGGCCTAGAAACATCTCATGTCAAAAAACTGGAGAAGAAAAGACACAGGAAACACCTACGGTAAAAGACCTCCTAAGTAGTTTCCTGGCACCAGAGGTTCTCGATGGAGATAACAAGTATCAGTGTCAAACGTGTGCTTCCCTCCAGACAGCAGAAAGGAAAACAATGATTGTGGAAGAGCCACAATATCTAATTTTAACTTTACTGCGATTTGCCTATGATACCATCTGCAATGTGAAGCGTAAGATATTGGATCCTGTGTCCATTCCACTCGTACTGGATTTGCCTGTAGAGAGATCAACTTCTCGGGCTGCATCAGCAGATCAGACACTGGAGAATGAGAATAGAAGACCTGAGGTAGAAGACCGGTCACATAACCAACAACAAGTGCCCTATGTTTTAAATTCTGTTGTGGTCCATTCTGGGTTATCATCTGACAGTGGTCACTATTATTCTTATGCGAGGGACATATCTGATAATTCAGGGTGTTCACATTCTGAAAAATACTCTTCGACCCTCGGCTCTGTGAATGGAAATGAAGAATGGTTTCTGTTTGATGACAGCAGTGTTTCCAGGAAAACAACTAACTTCGTATTAAACAGACAGCCTTCCCTGGCCACACCATATATACTGATTTATAAAAAATCCAACTGTGGGGAGACACAAAGTGTTTAGCCTGGCCAAGCAAGAGGAGTCTAAGTCACCGAGGATATTCCACTTCGGAAGAAGCCCAGAAATATAATTAGAAGACATAATAAAGAATATGTAGACATGTAAAAGCAACTTTCATGTATTTTAATAAATAATATATGATTAATTAAAATGTGTTAAAATAGTGTTCAAACTCCTACACCTTTATGGGCCTCCATTTATCCCCTTACCTACTTCGCGCATTTCATATTATTTAACGTAACTATATGGAAATATTACCATTCATCCATATTATTCAATACCATAATGTCATTTAAATCATCTCCCTATCTCAAAGATATTTGTTTCACCTTTCAAATTATAATAAAAATGTAAAAGGGATTTGAAAAGGAGCCTAACTGTAATGCCAAGAGTCCAAACAGCTAGTAAACACAACAGATTTTCTAGGGGTGAAACAATTTCATTATAATAGTTTTAATGGTGATATTGAGGCTGGATATATCCACAAACCAAGAAACAACTAGAATTGGTTCAAACTATAGTAGTATAGTCAGGGCCAGCGCTTCCTATAAGGTGAACTAGGCAGCCCCCATCGCCGGCCCTAATGCTGCAGCCGCCTGAGCGCTCTGTAAAGAGCCTCAGGCGGCTGCAGCACTGTCTCTCTCCTCACCTGCCCTTCCCTGTAGCGTGACCAAGCTCCTCTCCGGTCTGCAGCCGGACTGACACAGTGTGCACTTCCTGTCAGTCCGGCCGGGTACAGGAAACAGAATACTCCTGTACCGCGGACCGCAGAGGAGCTCGGCCACGCTACAGGGAAGGGGAGGTGAGCAAGGAGAACACGGGGGGGAGGAGAACAGAGGGAGGAGGGGGGAGTAAGGACAACACAGGAAGGAGGGAGGAGTAAGAAGAACGGGGGGGGAGGAGTAAGAAGAACACAGGGAGGAGGGGGGAGTGAGAAGAACACAGGCAGGCTTTTTAATGTAAACACACCGTGTGCCGCACGGCGTTAGTTCATATGACAGATAATATGGGTGGTGCATTGTGATGTCACATGGGGGGGGGGGGCGCAGCAAATTTTTCTTTTGCCTAGGGCGGCAAAAATCCTTGCACCGGCTCTGAGTATAGTAGTAGTAGTGATATAACCATGCAGAACAGCAGGGCTCAAAGTGACAAATTACCAATAAGCATTGTCTAATAGCGAATGGAAATTCAATCCAAGCTGATGTGAAACTGATCCTCACTGCTTGGGAGGACCCAAGGTGCAAGGTGACAACATCGATGATGTACAATATTGACAGTTGTAAATTAAATCCCCTACCTAACATCTCTCTCTCTCTCCCTCTGTCCACCCTCAATTGTGAGCAAGACTTTCTCATCCAACATGGTGTCAGATGTCACAAATTCTCATCCAACATGGTGTCAGATGTCACAAATTCTCATCCAACATGGTGTCAGATGTCACAATTCAAAAACTTGTGGAAAGCTACCCAGAAGATTGGAGGCTGTTATTGTCCTAAAAAGGGAGCTAACTCCATATTAATTATCATGGTTTTGGAATTGGATATCTATGAAGCTTATATAGGTGTGATGGTCTTTTAGCCACACAGTTTAGCAATAGTGCCATCAGGGTTTTTACCTGTTTCTTTACGGAGGCACTGACATACGTAATGTTACGTTATTTAAACGTTGAACGTTAGTGCCTCTGTGCACAATTAATGTGTTTATACTTCAGTGCGGAATAATCTTTTTCCCTATTTAGGTTCCATCTATTTGAGTCCAAAAGACTCTCCAGCGCTCCCCTGAATACCTTCCTCCTATTAATCAATTCCTTATTACTGAACCTGGACTGCCTAATAACTCCTCTCTCAGATCTCCCTTATTTTTTCTTATTGAAATCTTGTTGCTGATCCAGGCCTGCCCAATAACTGCTCTCCCCGATCTCCCTTATTGTTACTGATAGAAATCCCGTTGCCGACCCTGGAATGTCAACCAACACGTCTCCCGGATTACCCATATTGATACAGTTTGAGTCTTTATTTGAATATTGACAATTAGAAAGATTGTTTCATAACAGACTGATTGTGCCTTTTGTCAAACTATTTAAATGGAGACTGCTACTTTAACACATGCTTTTCAGACATTACAATCGAATTATTCACTCAATCTATACAAGAATTCCATATAAAACTAAATGATTTACAAGTCCAAGTCGATAACATACAAATGCATTCCATATCCTATCAAACTGAACCTACTGTTTATCATCTTACGAAATTTAATGGGGATAGATCTAACTACAGACGGTTTATACATGAGTGTAAACTCATGTTTGCCGTGAAACTTAGGACTTATCTGAATGATCATGTTAAGATAAAAATGATTATATCTCTCCTTCAAGGCGATCCTGCAAAATAGGCCCATCAATTGATTGAATCACTATACCTCTGTCTTTCTAACCTTGACCTTTTTCTTATTGAAATGAATAAACTGGAAGGAAGCTGCTTTGAAATATCAGTATTGCATTAGCCGAACACCTACGGGATGAGCTGGCCAGAATTGGAAACCCTAATTCCCTAAAAGAAGTGATTGAGCCAGTGACGTACACACAGTCCATGGGGCCCCGGTGTGAAACTGATCCATGGGGCCCCCTCCCGTCACCCCCTCCAACCCCCAATCCCCCATTATGTCACCCCATAAAATATAAAAATATATATAAATTTTGCACACAAAACTCACAAGTGTCAATGGACCTACTCACAGTGCAGCATTTGTAAGTTACATAGGCTGAAAAAAAACAAGTGCCCTTCAAGTTCAGCCTTACTTCCATCTGCATGGATAAAGCAGCTAATACTCAATAAATTAATAATTATATCCCTGAATATTGTTTTTGCAAGTATGTTTCTTGTTGCTGTTTAACTCCTTCAGGACGGACTATTATGTTATACGTTAAGGATCAGGGCTGTTTTAACATTTTTGTAGTGTTTATGTTTAGCTGTAATTTTCCTCTCTCTCATTTACTGTTCCCATACAAGTTATATATTATTTTTTTCGGGACAAAAATGGCTTTCTTTACATACCATTATTTGTATCCTGTCATATAATTTACTTTAAAAAATAAAATAAAAAATATCATGAAAAATTAAAAAAAAACCATGTTTTTGACTTATGCTTGAAAAATCTTTCACTTACCTACGAAAGCTAATGAAAAAAACTGTAAAAAGATTAAAAATTTTGTCCTGAGTTTAAAAACACCCAGTGTTTACGTGCTTTTTTTGCAAGTTATAGGACTATAAGTACAAATAGGAAATTGCTGTTTCAAAATATATATTTTTAAAATGTATCAATAGTGACACTGTAACACTGTTATCTGTCATAAATCTCTAAATCACACCTCCCATGTACATATTTTTTTTAAAGTAGAAAACCCAGGGTATTCAATGTGGAGTATGTCCAGTCTTTTTTAGTAGCCACTTAGTCACAAATACTGGCCAAAGTTAGCATTTATATTTGTTTGTGTGTTGAAAATGCAAAAAACTATTATAAACGCCAACTTTGGCCAGTGTTTTTGACTAAGTGGTTACTAAAAAAGACTGAACATATCCCATTTGCAATACCTTGGGTTGTCTTCTTTTCAAATGGTATGCCATCATTGGGGTAATTCTCATTCCTGGGCTACCATACGCTCTCAAAGGCAACATAACCAATCTGCCAATTTTCAACGTAAAAATATTTGACCCTTGTATTTGACCCTGTAACTTTCAAAAACACTATAAAACCTGTACATGGTGGGTACTGTTATACTTGGGAGACTTTGCTGAACAGAAATATTAGTGTTTCAAAACAGTAAAATGTATCACAAAAATTATATCATCAGTGAAAGTGCAGTTTGTGTGTGAAAAATGCAAAAAAAGTCACTTTCACTGACAATATCATCGATGTGATAGGTTTTACTGTTTTGAAACACTAATATTTGTGTTCAGCGAAGTCTCCCAAGTAAAACAGTACCCCCCATGTACAGGTTTTAGGGTGCCATAGAAAGTTACAGGGTTAAATACAGTGCTAGCAAATTAAATTATCTGGACTTACGGCCTGGGTTGTCAGACAGGTCCCTCAAATTGCAAACAATAAAACTACTTGTCTGGGTGTCTAAGTCCCTTTTATGCCTGTTTGTGGCCCGTCAGTTAACCAGTTAGAGAAGAGTGTCCGTATCCCGGTTCTGTAGGTGAGTGGGTGTTGGTATGTCTGGCAGGGCTCTGGGGGCTGTTGTCGGATTGTGGGCCTCGTGTGCTAGCGCATTTGTATTGTATAAACTAGGGCTGCCTGTCTCCTCCGGTTATCAATGGAATTACACCCCAATGAAATTACACACCACTCCCCGCGGGACCCGTCCACCCCCTCCCATGTCACACCCCGCAACCCCAGACAAAACCATAAAGCATAAAATATAAAACACAGCGCCACCACCGCACTCTCCCCAGGGTCAGCGTAATGGCATGCAGTAGGTGCCTCACGGTGTAAGTCCAGGAGGGTTAAAGATGGGTATCGTCCAAGGTACCATAGAATTAAGTCTTGGAGGGTTAAAGATAGTTATCGTCCAAAGTACCAGAGTAGTAAGTCCGGGAGGGTTAAAGGTAGGTAACCATAGAATTAAGTCCTGGGGGTTGAAAATAGGTATTGTCCAAGGTACCATAGAATTAAATCCTGGAGGGTTCAAGACCAAGGCACAATAGAGTTCTGGCTGAGGGTGTTCTGCGTTAACTGTTTGAGCCTGTCACAGCGGGCAAGAGTGGGTCACAGTTCTCTGAGGGTTTAGATGTCACCAGTCCTCTGTCATTCGAGCCGGTCTATGGTGGGTTAAAATGCCGTCAGGAATCCAGCAGGGTCCTCCTGCACTGATAGGGTCAGGATCGTGTCTCCCTGTTGTACTACGAGAGTGCCCGATGCTCCCCATCTATATCGGATCCCGTTCTCTTGGAGTTCCCTCATTACGTGCATGAGTCTCTGCCTCTCTAGAAGGAAGTTGAAGGGTAAGTCGTCATACACCCGAACTGAGCAGCCGTTTACCCGGAAGTCAGGGGTACTCCGTGATCGGGCCAACAGTGCTGCCTTGATTGAGACCTCCCGGGTGACAGCTATGATGTTCCTGGGTGCATCCACCGGGGCCGTCGGGGCCTTCCGTATGAGGAACGCGGTCATGATGGGTACGGTCCCCGCCCAGGCTGGTGCCCCCAGTGCCTTTGCAACTTTGTTGGCGAAATCCAGGATTGTCTCAGTGCCCACTCTTTCGGGTATCCCACGGAGCCGTCCGTTCTTTTTGCGGTGCCATGCTTCTATAGATGTGACCACGCGCTCGGATGTCTGGCTGTTTAGCGCTCCCTGACTGTGTCAGTTTGCGGCTTTTTCACCCCATTTCTCTCGGGGGGAGGGGGAGTTTGGGTTGTGCTTGTATGTCTTTTTGTGGTAAATTCCGTAACTCTGTGGCAATTTAATCTGTTTAGCCGTGTGGCTAGCCGGAGCTCCACAGCAGCACGTCTTGTTCTTCGCTCAGCTAACCACACCCTTTATTATAAGTGTGTTTTTATATTAACATATTTATATATTAATATAAAAATACACTTAGTATGACATTATATATATAAAAAATATATAGACATATAGCATTTTCTGTAAGGGGCAAATAGCCGTATATTGGGTAGGGTACAAGTAAGAGCGTGGGATAGAATAAAAGAGCAAAGTCGGTTGTGGTGTGCCGATACAGACGATACGGTAGGTCTGTAAATAAAGAGGGCCCACCAAGGAGTAATAAAAAGTAAAGAAAATAGAAAGAAAAAGAAAGTGTTGTAAATGAGGAGTGGGTGGGAGGGTCATTCAGACGCTGACCTTGATCGGTGTGGAGTCAGGTAAGGGGTGTACCTTATGTAGGGGAGTGAATTAATTTAAGCCCCTCCCACAAATACAGGCCAAATGGCCTTAATACTTGTGTAAGGGGCAAATAGCCGTATATGGAGTAGGGTTCAAGTAAGAACGTAGGATAGAATAAAAGAGCAAAGTCGGTTGTGGTGTGCCGATACCGACGATGCGGTAGGCCTGTAAATAAAGAGGGCAAAAATGGAATAATCAAAGATTTAATACAGTCAACAAATATATATAATTATCCAGACATTTCTTTAAAAGCATTTCTTAATTCTTGTGTAGGTTTTGGTATGTAGGTTGTGTAGGCGGATGACTTCCACCGCCCCAGTGATTTAATGATATGTACCGGTATGTTAGCGCTGGAAGCTGTGGAGGCTGTGTATTGGGTTGTAGAGTTAGCATATGATGTCGAATGCCTGTCAGTTATAATTTGATTGTATTGTAAGATAAGTGTAATTTAAGATGGCAAAAAGAAGCGAAGTCATGACGAAAGGTTGGGCTATGTCGTGGTCAGATAGAAATATTGTGAAAAGTGTGAAGGCTCTGTTTTGTGAGTGTTGGATGATAGTGCTAATTTGGACAGATCCCTGCTATGTTGCATGATTAGTTCTAGTCCATGGTTAGCTGCTGGAACAGAGGGGCGGCTGTTGCTGTTTGTGCTGCTGATGGGAGTGCTTGCTAAAAAGCCTGAAAGTTGAAACGAGACAGACTGTCAGCTGCTATGTTACTAATGCCTGGTACATAAAAGCAGACCAAGTAGAAATTGTGACATGCTGCTAACCACGTGAGTTTCCTGAGAAATCTCATGATTGTAAGGGATGATGAACAGCCTTTGTTAATGATGTGACATGTTGCTTGGTTGTCTGTGTGGCAACGGACTGACAAGCCTGACCATAAATGTCCCCACGCCACGGCAGCTGCTACAATGGGGTAAATCTCAAAAAGAGCTGAGGTTGTAAAAAGCCTTCTAAGTCATAGACTTCTTCAGGCCACTTATCCCAAAGCCATTCGTTCCCAAAGATTGCTGCGAAACCTGTGGTAGACGCCCCATCTGACCATATGGTTGGAGATGTGTCAGACAACTCTGGTAGGTACAAGCTTTTACCATTCCAGGTGGTCAAGAATTCTTTCCACATGTAAAGGTCTGTCGTGGCGTGCACATCCAAGGACAGTCTATAGCTGTCGTGTTGGAAATGTGGAAAAAGACAGACAAGTCTGGATATGAAAGCACGCCCTTGAGGGATGATGCGCATGGCAAAGTTCAACGAACCTATGAGAGATTGAAGTTCCTTGCAGTTGCAATTACCCAGCAAAATGTAATGGTTGATGCTGTTGAGGATGTTTGTAATTTTCTCTTGTGGTAAACTAGCTTGCATAGAGGCAGAGTCTAGTTGTATACCTAGAAATGTAATGATTGCATGATTGTATTTGGACTTTCGGTTTTCTTGGCGGATACTGGGACTCCCAGGTGGTCAAACAGACTAATGGTTGCTTTGAGACTCCTGGGGGGAAGGAGTTTTCTTCGATCAGCAAGAAATCATCCAATAATGGATGACTATGGGGCATCTGGAAATGTTGAGTAACATCCAGCAAAGTGATTCTACAAAAGTATCGAAGATTTTGGGGCTACTTTTTGACCCAAAGGATAAGCGGGAGAAAAAGTAATAGTTATCTGCCCATTTGATGCCATGTAAGTGCCAGAGTGTGGGGTGGCTAGGTAGTAGTTTAAAGGCATTTGTAATGTCTGTCTTACTTAGCCACGCTCCGATCCCTGCTTGCATGATGGCTGTAATGCCATGATCTATAGTGGCATATTGTAGGGAAAACTCTTCGGAGGGAATAAGAGAGTTAAGACTCGGGGTAGACGAGGTATGAGGGTCTGACAGATCTATGATGAGTCTCTGCTTGAGGGAAGATTTCCCTGTGACTATCCCTATATGATTTGTGCGCCATGCCGTAAAAGGTGGGGTTTTAAAAGGCCCGAACAAAAACCCCTCTGCCAGCTCTTGGGCTAAGAGTGTATCTACGGCTGTTGGGTTTTGTTGTGCTGATTGTAAATTTGGACATTCAAGTTGGCCTGGGGGCATATGTATAATGCCTGTATGGAACCCCTCTGAGAAACCAGAGATGAGAAAATTTACCATATGTCTGGAAGGGTGATTGGTCAGTAGTGCTGAGAAGACATGAATGTTAACAGACATTAGGTATGGTTTAGGGTACATTTTATTTGGACACATAGTTTTCGCATGTTCCCTGAAACAATGTGAACAAATATGCAATAACCTGCATGCACTAAAGCTACATGTGCCCACATTGAAATTATTGCACACCTGTGTTTTACCAAAGAAAATGATGGGACGACCCAGTTTGTCTCTGGTGGTTCTCTCAGTTCTACCCGGGTAGCTGGTGCAGGTGACTGATTGCGGTCGTCTGCCGTGTGAGAACAAAAATTGGTAGTGTGAGTAGTAGAAGAGCAGGATGCACAAGCCAGTGTTTTGAGACCTGCGAAGTGTCTACAGAATAGTTCCGTATCTAGTCTGCTCCAGTTGATACGGGTACCATACTGAGAGAGAGCACCAGACACCTTGGTGGAAAAAAACCTATGGTAGTCGTAAGAAGCAGACCCACCAGATTTGTTCCCCAGGTCCACCAGCTTGTGCATATAGCGATCAAACTCTTCCCTTCTATTAGGGTACACTTCACAAATTACATCTCTAAATATACCAAAAGCTAACACAAATTCAGGAATGGTCAGTTTCCGGTTTAACCTGGCGTCTTTGGATCTGACCACCACAGATACTTCATCATACATATAAGTCTTATTCTCAACCACATCCTAGGAGGCAATTACTAGGGATGCTAGGCTGACATCTTTGCCTTCCAGGATGTCTTTCTTAATGTGGGCTGGGATAGTGTGTGCAGGATCAACGTCCTGATAATCTGAAGAGATAATAATACCCGTGGCCCGTGGTTCAGTTGGTGCCTGTTAAGCAGTATCAGGAAGGCCAGCCTTTGTGAGGGCTGTGGTGACCGCCTCGAGGTTAGCCAGTCTGTCATTAACCTTGCCCATAGAGTTCATGAGTGAAGCCAGCATAGCCTGGATATCACCTGAGTTGGTGTTGCTGGAGCCTTTCCTGCTTCTTTGTTGTCGATTGTAGTGCTTAGGAGTTCAAATAGCTCCGCTTTCCTTGCTGTGGCAGGGTAGGGGATTTATCGCCTCCTTAGCTCGTTGGTGATGCGTGGGATCGTCCAGGATCTGATTGATGCCGGACTGGCAACATCTCCCCTACGGGCACTTTCGTCCCATACTTGTAGAATGCATAACACAGCTTTTCACCTTGCTTAAAGAATCTCATTGGAACACGACACAGCTCAACTTGTGTCATAACATTTCTCCTAGGTTTTGCTTCTTTTTGCCACCTTAAACTAAAACTCTCACACACCATTAATTATATATTTTACAGGCATTCAACAACACAGGATAACCTATGGCCAAAACTACCATAACTTCATGCTATCATACCAGACAAGAATATACTCAGAGGTTTTCAGGAATCCATTCCCCCACGTTCCTCTCAGAGATTACCAATAGCCATCCAACTTTTCCATCCTTATCGGACCTAGTAGATCTACAACCAATTATACTACCAAGTCGGCCATTACCAGCCATGCACACTGTCTTCTATACCTTTCTCAGGCCAAAGAATCCACTACCATCACCACCACTCAGACAGACCATTGTCTTCAACGATCCCACGTACGTAAACACATATATCATTACCCATTGGCTCTACCACATTCCGAAATGAGTCAACACGCACCAACAGTAGAGATAACATACTATCCTATCCACAACAAATGGTGTCCAGTTGCGGTCCTAGATTCCTACCTTCAAAATCCTTCCAGGAATTAAATACTGTAATGCATTTAAGGAAATGTCTGGTTAATTTGCATATATTTGTTGACTGTATTAAATCTTTGATTATTCATTTTTGCCCTCTTTATTTACAGGCCTACCGTATCGTCGGTCTCGGCAAACCACAACCGACTTGCTCCCTTTATACTGTCCTACGCTTATGCTGGAACCTTATTCCATATACGGCTATTTGCCCCTTACACAAGTATTAAGGCCGTTTGGCCTGTATTAGTGGGAGGGGCTTAAATTAATTCACTCCCCTATATAAGGGACACCCCTTACCTGACTCCATATCGCTTGAGGTCAGCATCAGAATGACCCTCCCACCCACTCCTCATTTCAACACTTTCTCTTTTCTTTCCATTTACTTTACTTTCTTACTCCTTGGTGGGCCCTCTTTATTTACAGGCCTATATTATTCGTCGGTCTCGGCAAACCACAACCGACTTGCTCCCTTTATACTATCCTACGCTTATGCTGGACCCTTACTCTATATACGGCTATTTTCCCCGAACACAAACATATATATATATGCACATATATAATTATATTTTTATTAACATTAAAAGATTTTATTTTTATTTTACGCATGCAGGGAGACTGCCTGTCAGTTCAGGCAGTCCCCCTGCAAGCAGATACTTGTACACCTGTTGACTGTGCAGAGGGGGCCCGCAGCAAGCGCTTACTTACTTTCCCAGCAGCTCCCTTTAGCTCCCTGTGTAAATCTTGTGGCAACACTCTGACGGCTGTGGGATTCGCGAGAGTTACACAGTGGAGCTGAAGGGAGCTGCTGGGAAGGTAAGTAAGAGCTTGGCTTGTAATGGGCCCGGCGTTCCTGGTATGTATTATCGGCGATATCAGTATCTCTATTTGCCGATACTGATATTGCCGAAAGTACAGAATATCAGCTAATAATATCGGCCAGAGCGATAATCGCTCGATCCCTATCCCATAGTGTTCTTTTCTCCCCCCCACCCCTGTCCCATAGTGCTCTTTCCCCCCTCCACTGTCCCATATTGTTCTTTTCCCCCCTCCCCTGTCCCATAGTGTTCTCCCCTGACCCATCCCAAGTGCAGTGATCATTACTATCTTTCATTGTGATATATAATCATCTGAATTATTAATGCAAGCATGTCTGTTGAACTAGGCACTAATAAAAAAAAAATATGAAAGATTGATTTTTTTTTTTTATTTCGGCCAATTTGAAACCGTTTTCAGCCAAAACGGGATATGCCAATTTTCGGCCAAAAATTTTGGCAGACGAAATTTCAGTGCATCCCTACTGTCAGCCAATTATAGGTTTATTGTTCATACAATCACTTGAAACCGATACCAATGATAACACCTATGAGGACTTGTATGTTGTACTGTATACTCCTTGCTTAGCTCCCTTGTTAATAAAAATGTATCATAAAAAAAAAAGAAGAGGCGCACAAAATTTCACTATGTGAATACAGAGATCCTTATTTTGTTGAATCTTATAACTGTTTTTCTGATGCCCTTAATGCTAGCCTTACTTTGTATACAAATATATATTGCACATGTTTTGTTGTCTATGCATTTATTTATTTTTATTTAAACTTTAAGAGCCCACAAGTAATTTTAACTTTGTTTATGCCATTATCAACATATGAGATTGTGACATGATTATGATGTCATCATTTGAACAATTGTTTCTCACCAGTGGATGAGGGAACACTCACTCAATACTGAATTGGCTGCATTGCTGTTCAGTGCACTAGAGTTCTCCATAGAGTTTTATTACTAATTTTATCAATTATCCACACACAGTGTTTCACACACATTGTAAAATTGTGGTACTGTGAACAAACAGTTGGAAACAAAAATGACAGACGAGGCAACAGTCCTTGACATTGAGCAAACAATATCTGAGACCAAAGATTCCAGTACAGAAAGTAAAACTGGATGGTTTCTAAATCTGATATTATGGATACGTTTATTTTGGACAAAACTATGTGATTTCGGAAGGTGTCTAAGACTGCGAGATTGCAATTGGTGCTCGTTCGCCTGTTTTGAGAAACTGAACATTACAGGGATTTTCACAGGCAGAGGGAGAGCCGAAAATCTCACCTGTGAGCAAGACATCATCAACTTTCTCAACAATAACCGCAGCAAAGTAACCGGAGACAAGAGCAAGCCCAAGGAAATTGAGGTACATAGCTTTATTAGGAAGTATTAGGCTTGAGTAGACCCTTAATGTACTTGTGATATATGTTATACATTTCATATATCAGCCATAAAAGTTATATATTGTTACAAAAAATGGAACAACATAATAACAATAAGATTAAGATTTAAATGTAACTGTTTACACATTAAAAATAGGAAAATACATATAAACATGAATATATAGTAAGACATGATTAAGGATATCATAGAGATGGTTTAGAGGACTGACAGCTAATTATTTGCACCCCAGATGTTTCCGAACTACATTCCTATGGCTGGCTGAGCATCATGGGAAATATTGTTGAGAAACAGTGGTTCCAATCTTATCCATCCTTGGTTTAGAGTAATAACAATAATACAATATCCAAGTCATATACCAATTAATTAATTACTGCTGTACAAGGACTAAGCAGAATCACGGGCACTTAAGATCCATTCTTCAAATGAAAATTTAGCCCAGTGACCCATTCTACCATTGCATTGTAGTTTATAACATAAATGTAGCAAATAAAAAATAGACTGATCCCAAAGTGAAAGGTGGGTTTATTACACCTAGGAAGGCAGAGACGCAGTAAAAAAGCATTTATTCAGAACAATTGCATGCACCTTCATTAATATGATGTGCTTATTCCAAACATTAACGACCCATTTAGCATAGGCACCTAATTTGGGATTTAGGAACCACTGCTCTACTATACAGTTCTATATATGTAAGTCCTTGGGAAGTGGTGATCACAGGCAGATTATCTGCAGGATACCTACATAGGGCCTGACAGGTCATGGGAGATCAGGATTTAAAAAAAAAAATTCACTAGGCATAGGGAAATGGGTGTATTAGGGCATATTGTAGAGAGGCTGGGAGTGAAATAAGACTGGGAAGAGAGAATAGGCCTATAGCAGTGGAGCTGCGTGGGGATATCTGGCTATGGCAATGGAGTAGGGTAGATGGGACTGGGGTGTGGATTGGGACAATAGGAGTAAGGCTGTGGAGGGGAGAATAACACTGTTGCTGGGTATAGTGGAATGTGTCAATGGCAGTAGGTATAAATATTCTACTAACAAACTGAACATTATAACCATTAGCAATATTTACAAAGCTCCAACATATTCCATAGGGCGGTACAGTGACCAAGTCAAAAATAATGATTTATTTTCACCTTCTTGTGAAAAAAAGGGCATTCTGAAACTCCACACATTGATCTGCCAATTCATTATACGGAGACTGGCTGGATGAGCACGGAAAACACATTTCTGTTTGTTGACATTTTGATATATTGTGCGTTTTGTTGACTGTGAGTGTGTTTGTTTTTTCTCTTTCTTTAGAACCTGCCACAGTCAGTGAATTTAAAAACCAAGAAAATTGGCCTAATCAACTTGGGAAACACATGTTATATGAACAGTGTATTGCAAGCATTATTCATGGCAGGAGAGTAAGTTATGCTTTATTTCACACCAAGGCTGGACTGGGAAAATAATTCAGCCCAGGTATTTAAACGCAGAGCAGCCCAGTTGGAGGGGGCAGGGACAGAACGTGGGTGTTTCATGTCATCAATGATGACATGCACGCCACCTCAAAGTGAGTATGCTGGTCTGCTGTCACTACAGGGAAGAGCACTCGCATGGGACCAATGTCCTGTGTTTATTTAACAAAGCACAGCTCTGCAATCTCTGGTGTCCCTATAATATGGATAACAAAGGACAAAAGTGGGGCACGGCCAGTAAAGGGTGTTGTGAATGTGTAGGGAGGCTCTCTGTGGCACTGTATGTGGTTGGAGGCTTATTGTGGGATTGCGTGTGCTTAGAGGTGACTGTTTGTGGTGTAGTGTGTATATGTGTGTGTGTAAAGGAGTCTGTGGTGTACGATGTGTGGCTAGGAACTGCAGTGTGCATATGCTTCCACTGGATGTAAAGTGTGCGCATCTAGGAGCTGTAGAGATTATGTGTGTGTGTATGTCTGTCTTTCTGTCTGTCTAGCAGTTGTAGAGCGAGAGAGAAAGCATGTGAGTATATTTGTAGAACTTCTAGAGGATAGGTGTATCGGGACTGTTGTGTGCATGTGGGTGTATATAGGGGCTGTAGCGTGTTATGTGTCTTTTTAAGTATAGGGACTGTAGTTTGTGTGAACAGGGTAGTTTGTGTTTCAGTGTAGTGTTTATCCATGGGCTGTAGTGTGTGAGTCCAGGTGCTATAGAGAGTGTTTGTGTGTCTAGATGGTGTGTGTGCATTTAGGGGCTGTCGTGTGCGTATGCGTGTATCTAATGTTTATGTATGTGGACTGTAGTGTGTGTATATTAATATAAGCTGTGGTGTGTGTATGGGGCTACAGTGAGTTAGCATTGGGGCTGCTGTGTGCATTTATTTTGTATCCCATATAAGTTGGAATGTCCAAGAATAAGATGTAAAACACATGTTTTTATTTCAGTTTTAGGAGGTACGTGTTATCTCTGAATCTGAGTGGGTGCCAATCACTGATGGAGAAATTGAAACATCTTTTCAAGAAGTTATCTCATACAAACAAGGTATGTTTTTAAAGGGATATTTCAAGCACCATAACCACTATAGTACTCTGACCTCCCCCCTCTCTCCAATTTGTAAGCAGTCAAACCATTGTAGACCAGGTTGACTTTTTACCTAGGATCTGCACGGCGCCGCTCTACACCTACAGTACTTCTGACAGACAGCTTTCCACTATATGAGTTAAGCCTGGCGATATAAGGTTTAGCTCAGAAGGGAAAATGGAAGATCCTGCCTAGGAGTTTCTGACTGTCCAAATTCAGTAGCGGAGGCATGGCATGTGTGGACCCCTGGTAAAAAGTGATGCCTTGGTACAGCATTTCCTTATTTTTAGACATTCTATAAGTTCTAATTTGCTTAACATTAAAAAACTATAGGGGCGGGGCCTGACACTCAGTGGTCGCGCCTACAGCGTGGAAAAGGAGGACGTGGCTCGGAAAGGCATATACATGCCAAGAGTCTGGTCCCGCATCTGATTGCTGCCGTCCTGAACCTCAGTCCAAACTGGGTCATACCCCTGGTAACTGCACTCCACACAGGAGACTACGTCCGGCTAAACAGGCCTCGAAATCTGTACATGAGGGCACGGAAAGGCAGGTCTGCGGCACAGGATACCCTCGGGATCAAGACACTAGGAGATCGGCTACTGAGCACAAAGGGGCCATGAGAGGTCGCTTACATGGGCTGCCTTACATTGATAATAGACACAGCAAGAATATTCCAATGGTGCCTAATTTAGGCATACGCTGACATTCCCTCCTGTACGTAATCCATAGCCCTCACCTTGGGCCTTGAGCTAGGGCTCATTTATTCATCCCAGTTGTCCAATGTACCAATAACATTTATTTAGTCTATTTGCTTGGTTTTAATCTTATCCCCCAGCCAAATCAACAGCCTGGAGAATCTGGTCTATGTATTTTAACACCCAGTGGCTATGTTAAATTGTTTGAGATGCAGATGTGTGTTTTCTATGCTTTTTCCTCTTATCTCTCACATCTCTGCTCCATACACCGTCTAATTTAATTTTAATCCTAAAAATGTGCCATAACACTGTTTCACACTGTTATTGCATAGTTTGCTAATGCTGTTGTGGCTTCACAAGCTCATGTATTAACTTTTGCTCAACAAAAATAAAGAATATATAAAAAAAAAAAAACTAACTATACACTTGTATTATTTAAAATACAGCATAAAACTTGTTTAAAACCTCTCTTTAGACAAATCCTAAGCAATACATATGAATGGGCATGCCCACCTATCAGTTGCAAAAATCTGAAATCTATAAGACAGTGTGGGTCATTGAGTCACTTCATTGAAGTTGAATATAAGATTAAAAAAAAAATAACAATAAAGTTAACCTAGCCTTAAAATGGGCATACAAAAACAATGTCTTATGTCAATATCACTGTGCCTTTTTATTGCCAGTACAACATTTTAAATTAATGTCTTTTTCCATTTCTAACCAGAGAATAGCTTATGCACCTTGTGAATTTTTTATGGCTTCAAGACCACCTGGGTCCAGTCCTAATTCCCAGGAAGACTCTGCCGAGTATCTCAGATTCCTTCTAAACAGGTACATATACTTGGTCTATACTTAGTCTATTTAACTAGTAATTGTTGACTAGTTATTGTCGTCATTCATTTGATCTCCCTTTGATTTCATCCTTAAACATTGTGAAGAATAGCAAAATACACAATATAAAACGGTATTATTGAATTCATTTTAACTGATAAATTAGGAGATCTTTCTTTATAACATAGCTCAGGTTCAGTGCTAAAATCTACATATTAGCTAATTAGTCTTTAAAAGATACACTATGTGTGCATAAGACAAATCTTGAAGCTTTTAAATTTCCATTGTTCTTGCTTAATATTTGTTTGTGCATTAGATTGCAAGAAGAGGAGAAATCAACACAGTATTCAACACCTCAGAGCACAGAACTGGGAAAGGAAGAAAAAACTGTGATAGAAAGCATGTTTGGGGGAAAGCTGAAAACAAACACTTGTTGTAAGACCTGCAAAAGCACCTCCCATAAGAGAGAAGGTTTCACTGATCTTCCTCTGGCTTTCTCTTCATTTGTCAAACCAGCACCGGTAATGGCATGCTCTACCGAGAAAAAACATTACGATTCTGTTACAATCAATATGACCCCAGCTGCAGAATCACCCACTGACGAAAACATGAGACATGGGCCTAGCAACATCTCATGTCAAAAAACTGGAGAGGAAAAGACAAAGGAAACACCTACGGTAAAAGACCTCCTAAGTAGTTTCCTGGCACCAGAGGTTCTCGATGGAGATAACAAGTATCAGTGTCAAACATGTGCTTCCCTCCAGACAGCAGAAAGGACTAAGATGATCGTGGAAGAGACACAATATCTCATTTTAACTTTACTGCGATTTGCCTATGATACCATCTGCAATGTGAAGCGTAAGATATTGGATCCTGTGTCCATTCCACTCGTACTGGATTTGCCTGTAGAGAGATCAACATCTCGGGCTGCATCAGCAGATCAGACACTGGAGAATGAGAATAGAAGACCTGAGGTAGAAGACCTGTCACATAACCAACAACAAGTGCCCTATGTTTTAAATTCTGTTGTGGTCCATTCTGGGTTATCATCTGACAGTGGTCATTATTATTCTTATGCGAGGGACATATCTGATAATTCAGGGTGTTCCTATTCTGAAAAATACTCTTCGACCCTTGGCTCTGTGAATGGAAATGAAGAATGGTTTCTGTTTGATGACAGCAGTGTTTCCAGGAAAACAACACACTTCGTATTAAACAGACAGCCTTCCCTGGCCACACCATATATACTGATTTATAAAAAATCCAACTGTGGGGAGACACAAAGTGTTTAGCCTGGCCAAACAAGAGGAGTCTAAGTCACCGAGGATATTCCACTTCAGAAGGAGCCCAGAAATATAATTAGAAGACATAATAAAGAATATGTAGACATGCAAAAGCAACTTTCATGTATTTTAATAAATAATATATGCTTAATTAAAATGTGTTAAAATAGTGTTCAAACTCCTACACCTTTATGGGCCTCCATTTATCCCCTTACCTACTTCGCCCGTTTCATATTATATAACGTAACTATATGGAAATATTACCATTCATCCATATTATTCAATACCATAATGTCATTTAAATCATCTCCCTATCTCAAAGATATTTGTTTCACCTTTCAAATTATAATAAAAATGTAAAAGAGATTTGAAAAGGAGCCTAACTGTAATGCCAAGAGTCCAAACAGCTAGTAAACACAACAGATTTTCTAGGGGTTAAACCATTTCATTATAATAGTTTTAATGGTGATATTGAGGCTGGATATATCCACAAACCAAGAAACAACTAGACAAGAATTGGTTCAAACTATAGAAGTATAATAGTAGTAAAGGAATAGTAGTTGAATAATAAATCTCCAATAAAATATTAACACTAAATTCCTGCAAAAAAAAAACCACATTGTGAAAGAAGCTACAGATTTTTGGGAAGACGATAGCTTCTATTGACATATGGAATGAATAGTAATGACACTGAGAAGATAGAGAGCTAGGGATTAAACATAAAAAGCTGTAAATCTAAAACAACATGCTGTTCATTAACGCATTGAGATGATAAATAACTTTTAAAGGAGTATAGAAACTCTTTATAAAATCTACTTGCCCACGGGACTAAAATGGTAACCCAATCCACTTGTACGTCATGACAAGCTACTTATCCAGTATACAAAAAAATTTTTAATTAGAAATACTGGGGCCTCTACCGAACATCTCTCTCTCTCTCCCTCTGTCCTCCCTCAATTGTGAGCAAGACTTTCTCATCCAACATGGTGTCAGATGTCACAAATTCTCATCCAACATGGTGTCAGATGTCACATTTCAAAATCTTGTGAAAAGCCACCCAGAAGATTGGAGGCTGTTATTGTCCTAAAGAGGGAGCTAACTCCATATTAATGATCATGGTTTTGGAATTGGATATCTATGAAGCTTATATAGGTATGATGCTCTTTTAGCCACACAGTTTAGTAATAGTGCTGTCAGGGTTTTTACCTGTTTCTTTAAGGAGGACTGACATACGTAATGTTACGTTATTTAAACATTGAACGTTAGAGCCTCTCACAATTAATGTGTTTATACTTTGATGCGGTATAATCTTTTTCCCTATTTAGGTTCCATCTATTTGAGTCCAAAAGACTCTTCAGCGCTCCCCTGAATACCTTCCTCCTATTAATCAATTCCTTATTACTGAACCCGGACTGCCCAATAACTGCTCTCTCAGATCTCCCTTATTTTTTTCTTATTGAAATCTTGTTGCTGAACCAGGACTGCCCAATAACTGCTCTCCCCGATCTCCCTTATTGTTACTGATAGAAATCCCGTTGCTGACCCAGGACTGTCAACCAATGCGTCTCCCGGTTTACCCATATTGATACAGTTTGATTATCTATTTGGAATATTTCTTCTCTTTCTTTTGAATTTCAAATCAAGTCTAACATTTTTGTATAGGTTAGATTACCTATGGTGCTTTCCTTATCCTGTGACATAGAGAAAACATCTTAAAGATTGTTTCATAACAGACTGATTGTGCCTTTTGTCAAACTGTTTGTACGGAGACTGCTACTTTAACACATGCTTTTCAGACATTACAATTGATAGTTGAGTTACTCACTCAATCTATACAAGAATTCCATATAAAACTAAATGATTTACAAGTCCAAGTCAATAACATACAAATGCATCCATATCTTATCAAACTGAACCTACTGTTTATCACCATACGAAATTTAATGGGGATAGATCTACCTACAGAGGGTTTATACATAAGTGTAAACTCATGTTTGCCGTGAAACGTAGGACTTATCTGAACGATCATGTTAAGATAAAAACGATTATATCTCTCCTTCAAGACGATCCTGCAAAATAGGCCCATCAATTGATTGAATCACTAGACCCCTGTGTTTCTAACCTTGACCTTTTTCTTATTGAAATGAATAAAGTGTAAGGAAGCTACTTTGAAATACCAGTATTGGATTAACCGAACACCGATGGGAGGAGCTAGACAGAATCGGAAACCCTAATTCCCATAAACATGTGTCCTCAAACTACAGCCCTCTTGATGTTGCTGAACTACAACTCCCATGATTCTGTGAATTACATAGATAGCCAGAGAATCATGGGAGTTGTAGTTCAGCAACATCTGGGGGGCCGGAGTTTGAGGACCCATGCCCTAAAAGAATTGATTGAGCCAGTGACGTACACACAATCTATGGGGCCCGGTGCGAAACTGATCCATGGGGCCCTTGCCCGCCACCCCCACCATACCCTCATCCCCCATTATGTTCAATCCAGCTATGGGTGTAACCATAGAAAACTGGTAAAAAAAATATTAAAATAAAAAATAAAAATATATATAAATTTTGCACACAAAACTCACAAGTGTCAATGGACCTACTCACAGTGCAGCACTTGTAGGTTACATAGGTTGAAAAAAAACAAGTGCCCATCAAGTTCAGTCTTTCTTACATCTGCATGGATCAAGAAGCTAATACTTGATAAATTAATAACTATATCCCTGAATATTGTTTTTGCAAGTATACATCTATTTGCTGTTTAACCCCTTCAGGACTGGACTATTTTGGCCATGTTGTACGTTAAGGATCAGGGCTGTTTTAACATTTTTGTGGTGTTTATGTTTAGCTGTAATTTTCCTCGATCTCATTTACTGTTCCCATACAAGTTATATATTGTTTTTTTCAGGACAAAAAGGGCTTTCTTTACATACCATTATTTGTATCATGTCATATAATTTACTTTAAAAAAATAATAAAATATGGTGAAATATTGAATAAAAAAACATGTTTTTTTACTTTTGCTTGAAATATCTTTTACTTACCTACAAAAGCTAATGAAAAAAACTGCTAAACAGATTCCAAATTTTGTCCTGAGTTTAAAAACACCCAGTGTGTACGTACTTTTTTGCTTTTTTTGTGCAAGTTATAGGACTATAGATACAAATAGGAAATTGCTGTTTAAAAATATATATTTTTAAAATGTATCAATAGTGACATTGTAACACTGTTATCTGTCATAAATCTCTGAATCACACCTCACATTTACATATTTGTTTAAAGTAGACAATCCAGGGTATTCAATATGGGGTATGTCCAGTCTTTTTTAGTAGCCACTTAGGCACAAACACTGGCCAAAGTTAGAAATTTATATTTGTTTGTGTGTATACAAAAATCGGGGGGCGGGGCCTAACAGCCAAGATGGCTGGACGTGTTTGTTAACAGCTCCTGCACATCTGAGCTTACTCTAAGCTTTTTACAATCGAATCGACTAAAACTCAGAAAAAGAGTAGATGGTGGATGGATAGTACAGCGAGTGGGCACCCGTGGGCGTCCTTTTTACTCCTCAGCACAGAGGAAATCCACTGTCCGAACATGCGGCTTAGCGGGAATGGCGGCCAGGTACCTGGGGGATCTCCCGGTGAAAATCACAGTGAGAAGCGCGGAAGCGCCTCTAGCGGCTGTCAATGAGACAGCCACTAGAGGCTGGATTAACCCATAGGTAAACATAGCAGTTTCTCTGAAACTGCTATGTTTACAGCAAAAAGGGTTAAACCTAGCTGGATCTGGCACCCAGACCACTTCATTAAGCTGAAGTGGTCTGGGTGCCTATAGTGGTCCTTTAACGATTCATCAATGGATACATTTTATTGGGGAGTATAAACTTCAGTAAATTTGTGCTGAAGATGGTCTACCAGAAGCCTATCATATTGGGTGTGATCTCTGGGGTGACAGAGGGTATTGTCATTGAAATGAAAGTATCTCAGCAGCAGCTCAAATCTTGTTCTAGACATGGTTTAGGAGTACACTGGACTAGAACAGATTGGGTTGGTGCTCCAGTAAGAGCGAATTGATGGCTTCTTTATAATCCCCAGTGTAAGAGCCCAGAATTTTTTAAGTTTAGCGACATCTGTGGGATGCCAAGCACGCTCCTCCCTGACTGCATAGCTACCTGGATTGGTATCAAAAAATTGGGTAGCATATAAATTAGTCTGGGGAGCAATCTCCTCTCAGATGGTATCCCCTAAAAATAGCTCCATATATTGCATAGGGGAGAAGTCATTCACATTGACATTAATGCCTGTGTTGGCACTAAAAGAGGGGATGTTGGGCTCAGCTAAATGTGGAGGAACCCGTTCCTCCTCCACATTCGGCGTAGCAGAGAAAGCAGCCAGCTCACACATGGATGACGTCACTAGATGGCGTCAGAGTCTGACTAACACAGAGTTACTAACACAATTTTTTTTTTTATACTAAAAACAGACCAAAACTAATAAAAACAGACTAAATGAGACTAAAACTTCCGTTAGCAGCAACTTGTAAACTAACTTCTGCAAAAAGAATCTAACTGGAGAACTGGAGATTTGGGGGAAGGATACTAACAGAAATTTGCTGCATTCAAAATAAACAAAAAAAAAATCAGGAACAAGTATTATAAAAATGTATTTTCTGTGTGGTAGAGCTTAAAATACACAGTCCAGGTTTTGTAAGGCTATTGGGACAGTGAAAAGGGGTGTCTGTCCTTTTCCCTTTTTTATAACAGACCCGGCAACGTTTCTGGGGATTTCTTTTTTTTGGAGTTGGCGGTATCTTAAAAATAAAATGTCTGGACTCCTCTGGCACCGTTGTTGGAACTTGACCATCTCCATAAATTATTGTGGAAATCAGCTTGAGCTAGAATTGGAGAAATGTGGTTCTTCCTGGATTCATTTTTTTAAAGAGTAAAAATTAATTATGTGTTGCTACTTGCATCAGGGAGATAGCCTCCTTTTTATAACAGGCTTT